ACTTCGTTCGCTGAAGGCTTTGCTAAGCTAACTCTGTAAAAGCCAATGTCTCCCTTTGCTATGAACAGCGTATTACATTCAGAGATGTTTCTTACATTCACACAGCTACATTACACATAAACTTAAGTATAAAATATTATATTATAATAATTAGTAATTATTCTATACATTTATATAGCACTTTTCTAGACACTCAAAGTGCTTCACACCTTAGGGGGAATCTCCTTATCCACCACCAGTGTGCAGCAGTGAGTGTCCCCTGTTGGCCTGTTGGCGCAGCAACCTAGCTTTCCCGTGTGGTCTCCCATCCAAGAGAGTTGCAAAGAGCTAGCTGGCAGCTGATATCATAGTGGACCACCACTTTAAAACAAGAAAATTAGTTTTGCTTTTCAAGAAAATGTTTTTTTATTTTAAGAATATTTATATATTTTGACTAGAAACAAGACAAAAAGTGTTGTTATCTCATCTTAAGTTGCAGTGTAGTGATCTCATCTTGAGTTATTTTCTTCATCAGTGCTTTGTGATCGGACTACACTTTCCACTGATCTCCTGCCTTTTGTGATCTTGACATCTACTTTATCACTTCATGGTCCTGAATGCCCTGCTGATCGACCACACAAGATGCCTGTGTCCTGCTATTTAGGACATAATAAAATGTACAGTGCACAGAGAGTGTTAGTTCAGAGATCAATACTGGCTTTCAATTATTCTGCTTCCACACTGCAGTTTGGCCTGTGAGACTAATGTACTGCATCCTGGATAACAGATGCGGCACAAGTTTATTTCTGACATGTCACTTCTGTTTACACACATGCACACACACGCACACAAACACATATTCAAATGACACAATTTCTTCCAATAGGTATATTTTAGTTCAATGATGCAGCATATTTTACAAATACCTATATCTGTTTACACAACAGTTCTGTCTGGTTCTTGAATCTGATTGGCTAATCACTGTGTGATATTCTGCAAATAATAGCACTCATCCAGCCTCTTCACTCTTTACCCTTGTGTATTATTCTGCACACATACAACGACAAGCAGAGGACACTCTACAGTTTGACAAATATTGCTGCTGTTGGACAACATAATGTACTTTTGAGGCTGTTTTAGGTGAGAATGTTGTTGTTTAGATTGCAACTATGTAGTTTATTTATAAAGATAGTGTCTATTTGAAATTATCTATCATTTCAGAGCATCGGATTCAGTGCATTGGGAACCATCAGCCTGTCTGAGCAGACCAAAGAAAATGATGATTGACGTTTCGCCATAAGAAAGCGACAGAGACCACATAATAAGTCCTTAGGTAGGAAAAACAGCATTTTTTCCGCGTAAGTTTCAAACTACAGCAGAAAACATCATTATAAATCAGGTAATTGACATTCTAAATTGACATTCTATTTTTATTGCTGTATTTATACCACATAAATTGGTAGTAATTGCTTTGCTCTGGCTTTTTTGGGGTTTATTATTGTGAAATCCCGATTGCAACAGAGGAATACTAGATTGATGGCATTTCATACCGTTCAGCCTTATAATTTTAAAATGTGAGCAAAAATCCCGTTTTGTCATCCCTCTAGATGTTATGCAGGAGAATCATTCAAATACTAGCTCTAAAGTGACGTGCAATGGTTTCTGCTGTTCTGACGGTCAGCTGCAGATGTGAATGAGTGGTGGAAGAAAGTAGTTCCTCGTACAAAAGACTCTGTTTGATTTTCTTTTTATACACATGATTATGCCGTCGAACTGTTGTATAAACCCAATATCACACTTGTAGCATTGCGATGTGGCTGCATATATTTACTAGTAGAGCACTAAGGCACGCCTCCCACCAGTGTCGATATACAGCCACATCACACTGCTACTCATGTTTATAATTAACTATATAATTATAAATAATTAGTCTAAGAATAATTAATTTGTCTTTTATGCATTAATATATTTTTGCATAAATTATTGTAAGTACTATAACAGAATTTAAGGATAAATAAAAAAACAAACAATTTATAACGTATGATATAATGTAGTTCCTAAAAAATATTAACTTTTACCTAAGAGTTATATATTTTATATTTTTAATACAGTATATTTTAAATGTATTTATATTTCTATATTAAATCTATATTTTTAAATATATACATATAATGTATTGTTTGTTATAACAAATAAACTTTAACATAACAAAAATTTAGTAATTTACTTTAATACAAAAATAAGTACTTTTATCTAACAGCCACATAGTTTTGTAAGCTATACCTGTACATAGATATTGGAGTTATAAGCTTAGCAACATGCTAACAAACTTTTAGTGTGAAATTATTTGCAAGTATTACTGTAGATTTGAAAATAGTTGCCTGTGCAGAGCATTTTAAGTCACCCCTTATGAGTTTTTATTTAGATTAAGATGCTTCTCTTTATTGTTATATTACTGTATCATTATTACACTTGATACTTTTTGTACTATATTGAGTGTTCAGAAATGAGCCTCTCTCACCTGTACTTCTATGTCTCTCTCCACGCGAGAGATGTTGACGGTGTGTGGCTGCCCGTTGGCCAAGTTCCTCTGGTCAATATCAATGGTGAAGGGCTCTCTGAGGCCGCCCAAGCTGTACCGCAGCTGCAGGGTCCCTGAATGAAACAGAAAGATACAGTTTATCCAGAGCTCAAACCGCACCGCAGTCGATACAGAAGGTGCTTCAAAACCACCTCTAAAGCTCTAAAGCCTTTATCTAAATTCACTTCAGACTTATGTGCCCTCCAGAAGCTTGAGTTCTGTCAGTGAATACTGTGATGCCAACCTGGCAATAAAAGGATCAAAATCATGTGCTTTTACCCAATAATCCTAAGTTTCCCCCCCGTTTTTTTCTATTTGTTATTGTTAATTGTCTAACACTTACACCTTATATTTTAATATTGTGTTCTGCTCTGTTCAATTCTGTGTATTACATCTGACTGATTGGGACTGGTCAACAATCTTTTGTTGCCTTTGATTGCTCCTGTTGTCTGAGTTTTTAGTAATTCTTAAGAAACACCTACAGATTATAATTTCCTTGTCAACACTCTATTCTATTTTCTTTTGCTTCAGTTTTCTAACACTCACTTATTGCAACTCTGTTTTTTTTATCCTACCCATTTGTGCTTGTTTATTTATTGTTTAAATATTGTAAAACAAAACTAAGTTATTGTTATTCAGTATTTTCAGATTCATGTATTTTCTTAATTTAAGTTTTTCAATTACATTATGGGACCTTGATCTTTCCTCTAACAATTTTTGATTTTGAAAAATTTGAAAAAGTGACTTATTATTATTTTAATATTATTGGTATAGTATAGTAATACAATATATTGCTTAGATTGGTTTTTATAAATTATGGTAAACAAAAACCTAGTAATAAACCAACTCAGCTTTAGTATATGTACCACTATATAAATTTCTGGAGAGTGTGAAATATGTGCCAGGAGGTAAGTTTTTTTTTTTTTTGCAGTTTTTCTTTTTACAAATCCACCCGAGACTGTTGTGTGCGCTTTTTCAGATCTCAAATTTCTCTCATGAGTGCTGTTTGCACCTGCTGTTCTCGTGCAAATCCACCAGAGCCCGTTGTTAACTGACTGACTGACTGACCAACAGAATGATAACCCTACTCACCCTCCTCCCTAAACCCAATCGATAGTGTTTTCAAAAGCACCGATTGACAAACCCACCACCTTCCCTACACCCAACCGACAGTGTTTTCAAAAATAATCCAGAAAAGGAAAAGCCCTCTCATGGCTGCTTGATTTTTAGCATGTTTTCAGATCTTACCACATTCCCACCCGGTTATTTACGTATTCATTAGTTTTATTTTCAGCTTAGTCCCTTTATTAATCTGGAGTTGCCACAGTGAAATGAACCGTCATCTTATCCAACATATGTTTTAAGCAGCGGATCCCCTTCCAGCTGCAACCCATCACTGGGAAATATCCATACACACTCATTCACACAAATTCACTATGGCCAATTTGGCTTACCCAATTCAACTTTTGCGGATGTCTTTCAACTTGTGGAGAAAACCAAAGAACCTGAAGGAAACCCACGTGAACATGGGAAGAACATGCAAACTCCACACAGACACTAACCCAGCTGAGGCTTGAACCAGCGACTTTCTTGCTGTGAAGCGATCGTGCTACCCACTGCGCCATTATGATGCCCCTGTTTTACTTGCTTATTTTATTTTTGACCTTTTGTTTTTGTTTTACCCACTTTCTGAAACCGTTTTTCACCAGACTCAAACCCCTTTGTTGCGATTAACTTTTCTGTGTCGCAAGGCCACCACTGTACAGGCATACATAGCTCAGGCTACAACATTCGCACTCAACAGGAATTTTTACTGATACATTTTCACAATGAGCCTGTGTTGCAATCAACTGACAGTATTTTTTTCTGGTATTTTCCAGAGACTTAATCTTCTTTCTATTATTACTTATATAATACCGGGTACATTGTTTCAAATGACTAAAATGCCAGTAATAAAGTCATTATTAAACTGCAGATAATCTCCCATAATGTAATTCATAACAGTAAATAAAAAAAAAAACAGTGAATCACAAATTACAGAACCTGCTAATTTGCAGATGTTTTTAACACTGTATATTAAAAGTTGGAGTTTGCATTAAAAAAGTCTCAACCTGAAAGGTGACATATCACATTTATACACTCCCAGAAGGCTATATCATTTTTATCATTCACACCTTTGGTCTGTCAAGTTAATTATTAAAGTTTCTGAATAAATTCTGTACATGCCTGAATTGCTCTTTGTTTAGCTCTGCTAATCTTTGCTTTTGACTGCTCCAGCAGTGCGATTTTTTAAAAAAAAATTTGTGGTTCTATAAACCACATTTTGTCTACTGGGAATATGGGTTGATGGTAGATTTTAAAGGTTGTTTTTTTGCTGCAGATAGTGCTGTAAGAATATTCTACACTGATAAGCATAGAAATATTGAGCTGACAAATAATAAAACATTTAAGAATGAACCTATCACATACTTCTGTGTCAATTACAAAAACCCATATCTCAAAATTTACTTTCAAGTGGACAATCAAAGACCATATGCACATAAATGTTTTTAAATTACAATTTTAAACCAGTTAGAATTTTATACAGATTTTTTATTTTATTTGACCTTAAATACATAGTTGAAGTCAGAATTATTAGCCCCCCTGAATTATTAGCCCCTCTGTTTATTGTTCCCCCAATTTCTGTTAAACGAAGAGAAGATTTTTTTTCAACACATTTTAAAACATAATAGTTTTAATAGCTTATTTCTAATAACTGATTTATTTACATTTTTCCTTGATGAGAGTAAAAATATTTGACAAGATATTTTTCAAAACACTTCTATACAGCTTAAAGTGACATTTAAAGGCTTAACTAGGTTAATTATATTAACTAGGCAGATAAGGGTAATTAGGCAAGTTATTGTATAACGATAATTTGTTCTGAAGACAGTCGAAAAAAAATTGCTTAAAGGGGCTATTAATTTTGACCTTAAAATGATTCATAAAAAAAATTAAAACTGCTTTTATTCTAACCAAAATAAAGCAAATAAGACTTTCTCCAGAATAAAAAATATTATCAGACATATTGTGAAAATTTCCTTGCCCTGTTAAACATCATTTGGGAAATATATAAAAAAAAATAATAATTCTTCAACTGTATATATACTCTTATGACTATGATTACCTCTATTATTCTCATATACAAATCACTTTGGATAAAAGCATCTGCCAAATGATTAAATGTAAATGTGAATACACCATGACTTCATTCACCTTTCATGTGTCACACAGACCTAAAGAAAAGAGTGAGCACAAACTCATTTGGGTTACAGCTCAGTCCAGCGAGATATATTTGCTCGGAGGCTGCAGAGTAAAATTCAGTGTGGGCTTGGGAAAGTTAACTCAAAGAGTAATCACCAACCTTGTGTCCAATTTGGTTTTTATGGAATGGTGTTAAATGAAAAATGCAGCTCTTCAAATTAAACAACAGTACATCAAAAACACTGTTTAAAGTGAAAAAAAAAAAAACATCTCTGAAGGGAATAAGGGCCTTTTAGTTTAAACACCAGCTGTGTTTTACTTTTAAACTCTGAAAAAATGGATCACAGTCCTGCGCTTATGCCAAAGGAACAGGGATGAAATTGCTGGTGCTATGCTATTTGTCATATAATTAGCTTTTACTGTAGCGCTTCCACTTCAGAAAGCAATTCAGTCTGTTGCAATAAATTGTGCTTTATTATTACAGTACAGCTTCAAAATCGCTGTGAAAATACAACATACAGACTATTGCGTCAGAATAAAACTTAATGATCAACAGCAGAAACTAAAAATGTGTGATGTGATGGGTTTGCAGTGTGTAAGTTCATACTAAACCTGATAATTCATTGTGAGGAGGCATAATAACAGCCTATGCACCTTTAAAATGGTGCTAAATAGCACTAAAAGTGGCCCTTGACTCGTTATCAAAGGGGAACCAATTTAAGTGGCACTTATAAAGAGCCTGTTAAGCCCGTAATGCTTCTTCAGTAAGTGTTTGTGGTGGTTAAGGTGCTATCTAGCACCTTCTTTAAAGATATAGGTGTCTTGTAGCACTTACAGTGGTTCCCCTATTACTACCAGAACCATTTTAGTGCCATTAAGACCATATTTAAGAGTGTAAGAACAGATCTGAATATACAGTTTACTGTATTGAGTATGTTAACACATAAATATGTTATTTAATATAATGGATCAAATCTGTTTCAGTATCTAGCTGTATGCTTTAATTCATAGGTCTCAAACCCAATTCCTGGAGCTGATCGAACTGATTAAGGTGTTGAAGAGTTGTCTCAACCACCTTGATTATTTGGATCAGGTGTGTTTGATCAGGGTCGGAGCAAAACTGCAGAGCTGCGGCTCTCCAGGAATTGAGTTTGAGACCTATGCTTTAATTAATTATTAGATAATGATCTGCAAAGCTATTATCATGTCATGAGACTTTTATTCTGGAAATAATTTTCTGGAAATAAGTTTTTATTCATTCATTCATTCATTCATTCATTCATTTTCTACCGCTTTTCCGGGGCAGGGTCATGGGGCAGCACTCTTAGGAGAGAACCCCAGACGTCCTTCTCCCCAGACACTTCCTCCAGCTACTCTGGAGGGGTCCCGAGGGGTTCCCAGGCCAGCGGAGAGACATAGTCCCTCCAGCGTGTCCTGGGTTTTCCTCAAGGTCTCCTCCCGGTGGGACATGACTGGATCACCTCGCTAGATAGACGTCCAGGAGGCATCTGAAACAAATGCCGGGCCACTTCAGCTGACTTCTCTTGATGTGGAGGAGCAGCGGCTCTACTCCGAAATCCTCTCGTGTGACAGAGCTTTATAAGAGTTTACACTGCCAACCTGCAAAGGAAACCTTTCGGCTCAGCTCCTTCATTGCCACAACGGACCGATACATCTCATGTTCCATACTTCCCTTACTTGTGAACCAAATCCAAAGATACTTAAACTCCTCCACCTGGGGTAAGGACTTTCCTCCACTCTGGAGATGGCAATCCACCCTTTTCTGGTGGAGGACCATAGCCTCAGACTTGGAGGTGCTGGTTCTCATCCCCGCCACATCACACTCACCAGTAAACTGCCCCAGTGAAGCTCTCTGTTCGATGAAGCCAACAGAACAACATTGTCTGCGAATAACAGAGAAGAAATCCTGTGGTCTCCGAACTGGACCTCTCCTCCATAAACTGCCACATTATCGTGGTGGAGGGGTTTGAGTGCCTGAGTGATCCTAAAAGCTATGTTGTCGGGGGCTAACGCCCCTGGTAGGGTTTTCCAAGGCAAAAAGGTCTTGGGTGACAGGTCAAACTAAGTAGGGTTCAAAAACCCTTTATGAGTACAAAAACATCAAGGACGGTGATGTCACCCGATATGGCGCAGCCGGTGCCTCACCCTGGAGCCAGGCCTGGGGTTGGGGCTTGTATGCGAGCGCCTGGTGGTTGGGTATTTTCCCACAGAACCCAGTTGGGCTTAGCCCGAAGGAGCAACATGGGACCATCCTCCTGCAGGCCCACCACCTGCAGGGGGAGCTGTATGGGGCCAGGGCATTGTGAAATGGGTGGTGGTTGAAGGTTAGGACCACGACAACCCGGTCGTCAGGCACAGAAACTGGCTCTTGGGACATGAAATGTCACCTCACAAGTGTTTTTGTTGCTTATAAATTCAGTGGACCACCACAGTATCATTTGTCCAGTCAGAATTTCACAATGAACTAATAATATATGTACACAAATCAAATGCTTTGTTTTGTGCCTTTAATTTGACAAAGCATCAATTGAAGGTAAATTTCAATCATGCTATGGTTTTGTGCACGTTTCAATTCAAGAAAGACTGATTTATTTAAACAATAAATGTAGCTTAATAATCCAAAATCAAACAAAAAGGGCTCAGAGGTTGCTTAAATAATGTGTTGGTGCTCTTTGGGTAAGGGATTCATTAGAATAAACAGCAAAAGTCAGTCCAAGGCACTCGAAAATGTGGAAAATTATTAAAAAGCCTTTACTGACATGGCCATTCCTTAAAACTGCGCCTACGTGTTTCGGGAAAATTGCCTTCATCAGGCTAACAGTATAAATGTAGCTTGTTGCAGTGAATGTTTCAAAGCAAAGAGTGCATGTGAGGTACTTGATCAGGGGTGCCATTGGGGCTTCTGGCCAGTCTGGCTGCTTACTCCAAGCCAATAAAAGCCATTAACCCCTTAATTATCTTGTCTTTTAGTCATATGTAGAACCAATCAATCAATAAGCAATATAGATATTAAATATTCAACAATAGACAATAAACATTTAAATTTCAACTAACTGATAAATAAACATTATGCATTTATATAAATTCATTCATTCATTTTCTTTTCCCTTTATTAATCCGGGGTCGCCACAGCAGAATGAATCGGCAACTTATCCAGCATATGTTTTACGACAGTGAGGCGACAGTGCTAACCACTGAGCTACCGTGACACCACGTTAAAAAACTTTATTTCAAAAATATTGTTACAACTTACAACAGATAAACTTTGGGGTGAGAGAATTTATATTTAATGTATATAAAAGAGATTTATAAAGACAAATCATAATGAAGTTTTTCTTGCTTTTTCCCCCTTTGTTTGGTATCCTGATTTTGGCTGTGTCATTTCTAGATTCTTTCCATCTACCTGAATGATCTGTGAGGTGCAACAATTCTGAATAAATCACAAATGTCGTAAAGGGACACACATTCTTGGCACAGAGGGGTGCTGTCATTAAAGTTTGTGTCATAATCAATTATTGTGTAAAGAGGTAATTGCAATACCAATATCATATACCCCAAAGCATGACTAGTGTCCCTTAGAACTGTTATAATCCTGCCCTCTGTTGGGCTCCCATGCTTGTGATCCAGTGTCTGCCATGTCTCAGCGGCTTGGCTCAAAGTGAAGAACAGGCATCTCAGTCTCTGCATTTGAGTTTCATGGGCACTTTTGAATGCAGTGTGTGCCAGTTATGTTTTAACTTTACATTTGCATAATTCCCAACATTTATGTGCACAGATGATTACAGCATTTAGCTACATTTGTAATGACAAAAATGCTACTTGGGTTCATGGGAAAAACATGTCTCTACCACCATTTTTTCTTAATCTATAAAAGTGTACACCATTCTATGCAGTTTTACACTGAAATATACATGAAAAGCAAAACGCTTTCCCCACAAATCCTGATTATGGCCAGATTATTAATTAATAAAGACACATTCTCTACTGTTCCTTGCACAATACTATGTCAGCACCAGGGTCACATGTTTTCAGAATCAGAATCAGTTTTATTGCCAAGTGTGCTTCACAAACAAGGAATTTGGTTTGGCTGCAGAAGCTTCCAGTGTACAACACAAAATAAATATAAAAAATACGATTTCATAAAACATTAAACAGAGATGCAGTTAGTCAAACAAGATCTGGATGTTTTTATGATCATTAGTTAGAAAAACAGATATGTTTTTAATGTTTTTGAAAGAAATTGCTGTTTTCTACCAAATAAAATTGATGCTTAAAGAGACAGTTCACCCAAAACTGAAAATTTACACACTCTAAATTAGTTTAAAACCTTTTTTTTAGTTTAGTTCCTTGGTCCCAAAAGAAGTTATATTGGAAATTAGCCATTGACATTACAACATTTATCCAAATATCTTCTTTTGTGTTTAACAGAAAAAAGAAACTCATAAAGGTTTGGAGCAAGCAAAAGGTGAGTAAATCATGACAGATTTTTCCTTTTTGGTGCACTGTCCCATTAAGGTATTAATTCTTGTAAGTGAAAACTAGGGCTGTGCGATTTAGGGAAAATATCTAATTGTGATGGCGAGGCAGTGGCGCAGTAGGCAGTGCTGTCGCCTCACAGCAAGAAGGTCGCTGGTTTGAACCTCGGCTCAGTTGGCATTTCTGTGTGGAGTTTGCATGTTCTTCCTGCCTTCGCATGGGTTTGCTCCGGTTTCCCCCACAGTCCAAAGACATGCGGTACAGGTGAATTGGGTAGGCTAAATTGTCTGTAGTGTGTGTGCGGCTGGAAGGGCATCTGCTGCGTAAAAACTTGCTGGATAAGTTGGTGGTTCATTCCGCTGTGGCGACCCCGGATAAATAAAGGGACTAAGCTGACAAGAAAAAAAATATGAATGAATCTAATAGTGATTTTTATTTGACAGATATTGCGATCTCGATTTGATTTGCGATATAACTTTGGAGTCAATCTTCAGCTTAATAATCTGTATCATAGCTTCTTATTGTGAGCATGCAGTGAGTGTTAGTTAAAAAAAGCAACTCAAAATATATTATTAACTCCAACTTTCATTCAAATTTGTTTATAAATATTCAGAAATTAAACACAAAATTTTTCTCTAGAGCAAACAGTAGTGAGCTATGGCGTTAGTTATCTTCTGGTGTCTTCGTGGTGTTTTTTCATTTAGTGTAACAGCTGCAAACAATAAAATTGTACTTTGCTGTTGCTCACTACTAGATTGAATGCCACTGGCAATAATTTTAGTTGACCTTTTAGCAAGGCACTCCTCATATTATTGGTCTATAGCCTGTGGTGCTTTTTAGGTGTTGGCTGTTGTTTTTCCTTGTGTCATGGCAACAATTCTGCAACAGCTGGTTTTGATCGGTGTCTGTCACTTTGAAACCAAAATATTCTCATATTACTGATGTGCTTTTTTTCTTTAATATGAATTTGTCTGTTAATGCTTTTGAAGCGGCAGAAACCATCATCTCATCCATTTGCGCTTTCCTGTTTGTTTGTTTTTTTTAGTGTGGGCTTTCCGCACAGTCTGGTTCCGCAATTCTGATTGGGCAGAATGAAAGTGTGCTTACTCAATCGGCTAGTAAGACTATCACACAGACGACAGTTTACTCTGGCTGGGGGAAATTATATAATACATACAGTTGAAGTCAGAATTATTAGCCTCCCTGTTTATTTTTCCCCCCAATTTCTGTTTTTTATTTTTAAACATAATAGTTTTAATAACTCATTTATAATAACTGATTTATTTTATCTTTGTCATGATGACAGTACATAATATTTGACTAGATACTTTTCAAGACATGTCTATACAGCTTAAAGTGACATTTAAAGGCTTAACTATGTTGATTAGGTTAACTAGGCAGGTTAGGGTAATTAGGCAAGTTATTAACAATGGTTTGTTCTGTAGACTATCAGGAAAAAATAGGTTAAAGGGGCTATTAATTTTGTTAATGTAATATTAATGTTTTTAAAAAAATTATAAACTGCTTGTGTTCTAGCCAAAATAAATCAAATAAGAATTTCTCCAGAAGACCTTCCTTGCTCTGTTAAACCTTATTTGGGAAATATTCGATTTGATTTGATTTCGATTAATCGCACAGCCCTAGTGAAAACACATTTTTAATTGTACTACTGGGTTTTAAAGTTATGCTGGGCAATAATAAAAATTATGGTGAAAAAGAAAAATGTTTGACTGCATGTTCATGCTCCATGACCAATCAAGGCATACCAGCTCAAAAAAAATAAAAAACCATATACAAATAAATCAAAAATAAACATCTTGACACGTATCATCATTTATTATTCATCAAATTAATTGTTCCAAATTCATAATGATATTGTGTATTATGAAAGCATAAAATAATTTGCCTAGTTATATTAAAACAATCATGTTTAATAGTGTCACAAAACTCTATGGGAGACACTCAGTTTCACAATTTCAGCCATCTCATCTTTCATTCATCTTAACCTATCTTTGCAATGCCTCAAATATGTCTTACCATTGTGACGGAGCACCACAGCCATGTAATCCTGGGTCTTTGAGCTGACGTACACCAGAAGACTGGGAGAGGTGGAGGTGCTGAAGCTGAAGGTCAGGTCTTCATGTGTCAGGTTTGTTTCGACTGGAAGGTTGTGGATTATGCTCTTTTCATCCAGGCTGGAAGCTGCAGCCAGCACTTCAGGCACCAGATTATACTTAACCAGTGTTCCTGCTTCAAAGAAACCACCAACATCTGGAGAAAGAAGAGATGTTTTTTTAGAGTATACTGTCAGTTAAACAACACTCTTGTTGTTCTAAGATGAACCATTTGTGAACCAACAGCTCGAGACACACAATATACATGTGGCCATGTTGGTATTAAAAGAAAAATGCTTTTTTTAATGTTTAAATTATCAGCCCTTATTAAAAAAAATATTAATATATTAAAATAGATTAATTATTGTTTCATCCACTTCAGATATGTGCTGCTGGCTAATAGTGTTGTTGAAAGATGCTTTGCCACCAAAGTTGTATAAGAAATTATTTTGCCAGATATAAATAAATAAATAAATAAATAAATAAATAAATAAATAAATAAGTAAATAAATAAATAAATAAATGAATGAATGAGTGAATGAATGAATGAATGAATGAATGAATTAAAATAAAAACAAAAAACAAACCAAAAATGTAGATGTTTCTTACATTTTCCTGTATTCTGCAGTTAGTATTATTCACTGTATTTGCTTAGCCCTTGCTTTAGTAATTAGGTTTAGAAAAAAATCACATCAAAAATTGCATTATTGGTCTCTTTATTGGTTATACCAGCCTTCAATTATAAAACGTTATCAGTTACCTGTATTGGCAATTTTTTATTTTCTTTTATAAAAACAATGATTTAAATGTATAAATACATACAAAAGTAGATGAAAATAGAGACAAAACTACAAATATATACATATATATATATAAGCCTTACCCAGCTAGTTTAAAACTTAGTATCAACTACAGTACCAATAACAGCAAAGTAGACTTATTCCGGTGTTCAAAAATCCATGCAGCTTCAGTAATGCAACCACTATTTCATCAGAAATATGAACATATTTGCCTTGTTTGCCAAAAATATGACATCTCTTCTGACTAACGGCTTGCCCTGAACTATCATGAGATTGTTTAAATCAATGGAGTGCTCAATACATTTAACTATCAATATTACATTTTGACAGACTACTTATAATCCTGACACAGAGACTTCTAAGTAAGGAGGTTTTAAAGTAGTTTCAAATTGCCGTTATATTACTTACAGGTTACTGATTTAATATGTAGCCTATAGATTTTTCATATAAAAGAAACACATTTTCAATCCTCCGCTTTCTGCACCTCTGATTTCAATCGACAGCTTACAGTAGGTATTTAAGAGTGAAACGAAACAATGAAATCTACATTTTCATTTGTTCCAAGTACTGTACATACTGGTTAGTGGTTATACACTCATCGGCCATTTTATTAGGTACACCTTACTGGTACTGGGCTGGACCCACTTTTGCCTTCAGAACTGCCTTAATCCTTTGTCATATAGATTCAACAAGGTATTGGAAATATTTCTTTAGAGATTTATGTCTAGAGGTCTGCAAATTTCGGAATAAAGTGCGGAAGCAGTCGGTAACCCTGGTATAAACTGAACGAGAGCGGGCGGTCTAACAATATCGCTCCCGACTCCCGAGCGAGCATGCGTATGTATGTGTGTGAATGAAAGAGTGTGATGCTGTGTTCAATGCGGGTTGAAAATGGGACAGGTCAGGCAGGAGGACAACAAATGCTGAATATAAGCGGGAGCGGTCGGGTTTGGACTAAAACCTGGCGGGAGCGGGTGGGAGGGGGATTCAAAATTTAGTCCTGGGCAGATCTTTATTTTGGTCCATACTGACATCATAGCATCACGCAGTTGCTGCAGATTTGTCGGCTGCACATCAATAATGTGAATCTCCCGTTCCATGATATCCCAAAGGTGCTCCATTGGATTGAGTTCTGGTGACTGTGGAGGCCATTTGATTACTGTAAACTCATTGTCATGTTCAAGAAACCAGTCTGAGATGATTCGCGCTTTATGACATGGTGCGTTATAGGTAGGTTGTGGCATTGACACAATGCTCAATTTGTACTAATGGGCCTGAATGTACAAAGAAAATATCCCCACACTATAACACCACCACCAGCCTGAACCATTGATAAAAGGCAGGATGGATCCATGTTTTCAGGCAGTTGAAGTCAAATTCTGACCCTACCATCCGAATGTCGCTGCAGGAATCGAGACTCATCAGATCAGGCATTGTTTTTTCCAATCTTCTTTTGTCCAATTTTGTATCAGTTTCCTATTCTTAGCTGACATGAGTGGTGCCTAGTGTGGTTTTCTGCTGCTGCAGCTCAAGGTTGGATGTGTTGTTGGATGTGATCAGCTGGAACCAGTCTGGCCATACTCCTCTTACCTCTAGCATCAACAAGGCATTTGCGCCCACAAAACTGCCGCTCAATGGATATTTTCTCTTTTTCGGACCATTCTCTGTAAACCCTAGAGATGGTAGTGCGTGAAAATCCAAGCACTACCATCCATTTTCCAGTTTCTGAAATACTCAAACCAGCCCGTCTGTCACCAACAATCATGCCAATCAAGCCACTTAAGTTACCTTTTGTCCCCATTCTGATGTTCAGTTTGAACTGTAGCCTTGCAGTTGGAGAGCTGTACCTAATAAAGGGTCCAATGAGTGTATAGCTACAGTATAAGTTTAGGTCTCTATACTGTACCCGCTCTAGTTAAGACTAGAGCGATGATTCATTACTTTGGGCAAAATCATGCCCACCATTCAAGGAATGTGCAGTGGGAATGTGTAAGTCATGTCTGACTCAGCCATCTGCAGCAGCAGGGCAAGGACACTGACATTACCGATATGTTTTGTATTCATAAGAGGCTTCCTCAACAGCTATAAAAACCAAGAGGACACTTTCCTATTACGTTTTTACTTGAGGGGTGAACAAAGGTCCTTACATGGATCGTTTAACCTGGCTGCTAGGCTATCTGTGTGCAAGTGTGTGTGCATTTGTCTTGCACAGAAGTAGTATAAACAACACAGGATTTGTTGCATATGGGTTGGAACAGGAAGAACCATGGGAAATCAACATGGGTAATGAAGTAAATACACACAAGGGTAAAAAGCGAGTGAGCGAACATGACAATGGGCTTCTGCACTGAATATCTCATGTACACAGAGGACGAGGCGGGTTTATCTGCTATTCATGGCGTTCTCTCATTTAGCCATTTTCCTCCCGGGAATAGAGCACTAAGTACAAATGAGCTTTGCACAAATGCTGTATCGGGAGCAGGAAGGAATCAGTGTAGGGACTATAGATTGGTTTAATTATTTGCTGCAAGGCCCTTGAGCAATCTTTACTTTTCTACAAGGCTGCACTCTGGGGTTCATAATCAACGGAGACAGAATCACCATGTTTTAGTATAACTGGGGCGAAAGCCTTGACACAGTGGGAGTGTGAATGGCAGGCTAAGAATGGTACAGATATTCAGAATTACATTTGCTGAGTACAAATTCTACATCTTTAATGTGTTCTGAGAACCAGTGACTTCTACATGTCCTGAACTGGAGCCTTTATTTATTGTACGACCACTACTGAAATTGCAATGAAATTGAGCATTCTCAATCTTCAATTTTACTTTACGTGTATACAATTTAGTCATTAAATACTAGAAGTCAGAAAAGTGAACAGAACCTTTCACTTTACCTGCTAAAAGGCTTTCACTTTTTCTGCTCCTCAGCAAGTGAAAGAGCCAGAGCTTTTTACAGTGTGCCATTAGCAGTGCCAGAGGGGATCTTAGGTTCTCGTATATCTTCAGTGTCAGTGAAAAGACTGTCCCAGCAAACACACAAGCAGTCAAATGTGCCCAGATGTACAGTCAGATTCCTTTCACTTTTGTCTTCAGCAAGTAAAATGCATGCTCAATTTAATTCAGGTCAGGTTATTGACTCGGCCATTCCATAACATTCCATTTCTTTTCCTTCAAAAAGTCTTTGGTTGCTTTTGCAGTATGCTTTGGGTCAGTCTCCATCTGCTCTGTGAAGCGCTGTTCAATGAGTTCTGAATCATTTGGCTGAATATGAGCAGAAAATATTGCCTGAAACACTTCAGAATTCATCCTGCTGCTTTTTTCAGCAGTCACATCATCAATAAATACAAGAGAACCAGTTCCATTGGCAGCCATACCTGCCTACGCCATGTCTCTACCACGACCATGCTTCATTGCTTAGGATCATGAGCAGTTTCTTTCCTTCTCCATACTCTCCTCTTTCTATCACTCTGGTACAAGTTTATCTTGGTCTCATCTGTTCATAGGATGTTGTTCCAGAACTATAAAGGCTTCCTTAGAACTCTAATCTGGGCTTTCTGTTTTTGAGGCTCATCAACGGTTTACATTTAGCCGTGAACCCTCTGAATTCACCCTCTGTTTTGGTGTAGTCTTCTCTTGATTGTTGACTCTGACACACATACACCAACCTCCTGGAGAGTGTTCTTGATCTGGTCAACTGTCGTGAAGGGCGTTTTCTTCACCAGGGAAAGAATTCCTTGGTCGTCCACCGCAATTGTTTCTGTAGTCTTCTGGGTCCTTAGGTGTTGCTGAGCTCACTGGTGTATTCTTTATTTAAAGTATGTTCCAACAGTTGTTTTGTCCATGCCTAATGCTTTTGCTATCCCTCTGATGGGCTTGTTTTTTTCAGCCTAATGATGGCATGCTTGACTGATACTGACAGCTCTATGGATCTCATCTTGACAGTCATCTTGAGTCATCTTGACAGTAACATATTCCAAATGCAAAAAACACACTTAAAATAAACTCTGGACCTTTTATCTGCTCATTGTAATTGGGATAATGAGAGAACGACACACACCTGACCATGGAACAGCTGAGAAGCCAATTGTCCCGTTACTTTTGGTCCCTTAACAAGTGGGAGGCACATATGCAAACTGTTCTAATTCCTACAGCATGCAGCATGTGGCTGTAAATACTCTCAAAATAAAGCTGACAGTCTGCAGTAAATGCATATCTTAGTTTAATTAAAAATCCATTGTGTTGGTGTATAGAGCCAAAATGTTAATGTCGATATGTTTTTTATATAATGTGGTAATGTTTTTAGGGTCACGGTTTCAGTACTGTTTGGTTTATGAAATGTTCAGTAAAGCACTGTCAAAGAAATATAAAATAAAATAAAAACTTAAATAAAATAAGCAGTGTTTTTTTTAGGTTTTTCATGCATCTAACAGCAGTTTTAAGTAACATAAACTGAAAAATATAATCAAATATAGCACTGAATATTATATCTTCAAAGTATAAATTAAAAAATGATTAACCATTATTGAGCCAAAGAAAGCAAAAGTGGTAGATTAATATTAATATTAGTTTGATTAATATTAAAAACACAGACAGCATATTTTTACATTAAGACTCAGCACAGATGTACATTTTCCTTAATGTTTATGTTTCAAGGCAAAATCCAATTGAATGCTCATGAAGTTGAACAGATGCACATAACTTTTAATAATAATCCTTTTTGAGTTTTACTGTTAAGAAGCAAGACTAAATTTGACTATCTTAATTCTCAGATCTCCCGTGCGTTCTGCTTCAGGGTTTCTGGACATGCTGCTCAAGTCACTTTTATTTTTAAATGAAAGCATCCTTAACTTTAGTGCTCAATGATGGGACATTTATTCACAGGGAGCCGGGTTTCAGTTCATGGATCTACATTCTTACATTCTTAGAGCCAGTTCAGATATTAATGGGGAAAATGCAAAAATCAAAAAATTCAATTTAATGCAAAGTGATTATTTCTAAACTAACTTAGAGAGGATCACATGCTTTTGATTGCATCAGATGATTCCTAAGACACTATAAATACCCTAAGTTCCATATAAAGTCCATCTTTATTTTGAAGAATCCCCCCTTCCACCCCTACTCCTTCTCCTTTCCTGGATGGGTGGCACGGTGGCACAGTGGTTAGCGCTATTGCCTCACAGTAAAAACATAGCTTGTTGTAGTCCTTACCACGCCAGCTGACGTTTCAAGCTTATTTTTGGTTTGAAACGCACAAAGCACAATAAATAAGAGTGAGGGTGACTACATCTGTGTCAGAAGTCAGAATCATAAAGTTGTGCAGCGCCACCTTGTGTATTAGGTATTTCTGTTTTTCATAAAGTGCCATCTAATACCAGGAAGTGATAAAGGTGCTAGTATGCACAAAGCTTAAGGGCATGACACGTTTGAAAAAAACTGTTTCAAAGAGAATGATTTTTTGACAAGGATGCCATTATTGTCTCTTTGTAAACTATGATTTTTTATTTTTTTTTGAAAACTGTGACCTTACATGTTTACATTTTCAACCTTTTTTGCAAGTGTAACAAACAGCCATATTATCTATAAGTAATAACTAACAGGACTTTAAATGTGCTGATGTCTAGTATCTCTTTGCAAAGTGTCTCCATTTACTGGTCTGGCATTCATAATATAGGTTTTTTGTCTATTTTGTAGTTCCTTGTGAATTAGAAACATTTTGACTATATTATCCTTGTATGCTATTTCTTTCCATTTTTGTTTAGTTGTAAACAGCAGGTTTTAGTTTAGGGGAAAATTTCACGAGTGATTTGAATTATTTATTTAAATAAGATCAATAAAATGCATTTTAAAAAGTAGTTAGAATACATTTTCTTTTCCTGTCGACTTTAAATGAGAAATATAATTATTTTACATTAAGCAAACGATTTCTGTCCCACCTGATTAGTTGTATTAAGCATTAAACTTGTATCTTTAAATTGTAACAGAATGAAATGTCTGTCACTTGTTATTTATTTATGTTTTGTTATCTATGGAATAATGACAAAAAAAAAACTGTTCTAATGGAACTACAGGGCACTAGAGGGCTGTTCTGCGAATTCTCGCGAGGTCAGCGAATTCTCCCGCGGGGCATCATGGGATAGCGCAGCGTGCATGGGATGCGCACTTCAGAATCTCTGCGGAAGTAGTAAGTCATCGCGGTACTTCTCGCAAGCTGTTTTTTGAATTCTATGAATTCGGACATACTACTCGACTCACATACTGATTTTAGTGTACTGTATAGTATGCGATTTTGGACGCAGCCATAGTTCTTTGGAGCTAGTTCAAACTGCTGGTAATTGTGAAGTCGTAGTTAGGAAACCTTGAGTTTTAAGCTCAGCCTGTGAGTATGTTTAAATTCTTTCTTCTTTAAATATGTTTGAAATTCTTAGACATATTGGATACCATCATGAAGTTTCAGTCATCCATTATCTGAAAGTTGTTCAGTAATTATGTAAACTATAACTTTTGGTTTGGGACCAAACTTTAAATCATAAATATAGTAAATAAAGTACATTTATTTATAAAGTAACACATCACATCCATGATCATGAGTCCAAATGAAGCAAATTCCTTGGCCACACTTTATTTTGATGGTCTGTATGTTGAATTTAAGTTACATCGCATCTACATGCCAGATTGTAAGTAATCTGTTAGGCTGGGGTTAGGATGAGAGTTAGTTTACCAAGTACTTGCAAAGTATCTTATAGTCAGTTAAATGTCTGTATAAGGAGCAGTATCAACAGATATTAAGCACACAGTCTTCTAATACTCAAATGGACCATCAAAATAAAGTGTTACCCATTCCTCTTTCTGATTTGAAGGTGTAGTATTGAGCCACAGATGTACGGCAGCCTGTGGGAGCAATTGTACTGACCCAAAGGCTTGAATCAGAGAGAATTCGATATTGACTGCAATACCCAAGACGGCACAAGTAAATAACTGTAAAATGGAAATGCGAGTTAAACTTTGCAATTACTAGGTTGTTCATGCATATTTCAGGCGAAAGGAGAAGTTGAAAGCCGAGGGCAACCATCAGAGTCTCTGGCTCACAGCGGATCGCCATTTTTAAACGGAGGCCATGCAGTGTCTGATAGAGGGCTCGACACAGAGCACGAACTACAAAAGAGTTCTGTTGGTGTCAGTGAGGCTATTACTATATTCAAATGAAGGAGGCGGAGCTTGAACGCAAAGAGGGCCTCTTAAAGTCTCCCAGCAGTTTTAGTCTAGACAGATTTTCATCAGTGTGCAGTGTACAAAGTTTGAAGGTGCGTAAACCTCCCAGCAAACTTTTCAATTTGCATTACTGACCTTTTGAACAGAAAGGCCCATCATAAGCGGTGGTGGTGCAGTCGCAGGAATAGCCGTTGTATTTCTCCACACATTTGCCACCATTACGACAATACATCCCAAAACTGGTGCAGTGACCCGAACAGCCAGGCTTTACACCAGGAGTGACTTTCGCCCTCTCTTCTAAGTCAAGGGTCACGCCGTTCATCTTCAGAGAGCGAATGCATCCCAAAAATCCTCTCTGACCTCCTGCTGCACCTAGATGAGAAATCAAAGCAAAGACCAGTCAATATTTCACTCGACAGAATGATTTTCATTGCAACGAGCTCGAAAACAAAAGGTTAAATGAGAAACATTAAGTTTCCGCCAATAGCTAAACTCCTTCTGGTGCTTTTCATTCATTATGGCATGTAGCATTCAATACAACACACCTTAGAGAAATTAAACACCATTAGAGTTCAACTTCCAGGGGAAAATAACCATTAGCCAATCGCTCAATGTCGTGTCCGGACATCTTTTCATTATAGGAAACTGCCCAGTTAAACAGAAATCGTACAATCAATTGCTGGATTAATACTAGATTTATAGTAAACGTCCTGGCAGGATGCATTTATTATTTACTAACAGTTAATAATAAAAATAGACCCGCAAGTACAATCATTTATCAAGCTAACAAACAAGGAAAGCTTTATCAGTTCTTTCAGAGAAATGATATGGATTGGAGTATCTATAGATTAGAGTCACCGCAGAATGGTTTTGCTATGAAAATGAAAGTTTTCTAAGGTCAGTTGAACTTAAGCTCACATTAAGAGCTGAGTTTTAATTGAGATTGTGACCTGCTTAGCTGTTTAATACAAAACAAACTCACTGAATCCTTTGCTAATAAACCTGAGCAGAGCTCTTATCATCAAATGTACAGCAAATATGCTGTGCTATTATAAAGCTTTAATGAAAGACACAGTGTCTCATGTTTCAAGGACGAACATAAGACAAACACATTTTAATTAATTTTTCTATTTATTCTCTGTCGCATGATTATTTCGATTTATGCCACTTAGCAGGCATTTTGTTCTGCCCTTGTTTTGTTACTGAAGAATTAACTTCACAAAACTTTCTCACCAGTGCTGTTTTCATAAACACATAAAAAGATTGTTGTGTTTTTTTTTTTTTTGGAAAAAACGTTTGGAATTTTGGAAGCATGCATGAATAAAATCGAGTGAAGAAAAAGGCTCTTACGACAAGCTGTTAAAACCCTGCTGAAGTTCACTGCTTCTGTCTCTGATGAGCCCTGAATCGGAAATTATTCTCTAATGAAACCTTAATGAATTAGCATATTACATTTATTAGACCATCTTGCTCAGTGGAATTCTTTTTTTTTTCTGCTTTTACCTGGGTATTGCACGGGCTATTTGCAGCCCAATATTGCAGCAGCTATCACAAATGGATGGATAGGTGGATGGACAGAGATAGACAGACAGACAGATAGATAGGGTGTAACAATACACAAAAATGATGTTTCTGTTTCTGACACATCATGAATATGAAGGAGAATTTATGAATGCTTATGACAGTATGTCATTTTAAATGCAACAATGACATTGTTTGAGGTGAATTTGTTATAACAACAAGACATAAACAAATACATCATCATAACCTGTCAATGTCATTGTCATGGCAACTTGACATTACCAAAACAACATACAGTACTTCATAAATCTGTCATAAGTCATACGCATAATTGTGTCATCAATACTTTTTTTTTTTTTTTACTGTGAAACAAACTGAATTTGTCACAAGAACTTCTCTTTAAATGTCTTAGTACTCTGTGATAACATTTCATTACAGTGTCTTTAATGTTTTTATGGACCTGACCTACAGTGGTACATCTTGAATTGGCAAACGATTTTATTACAGTGTCATGAATATTCTTCATTTTATAATATCTTTTTTTAGGTTTCTTCTAACATAAGGTCAGATAATAGACAGTTTGAAATGTCTTAAACAAGATGAACTGGCACTATCAGTTGCATTATATTAATAAAACATACAACATACCCACTGGGACAACATTGTGACTCAGTGGTTAGCACTGTGGCCTCACAGCAAGAAGGTTGCTGATTTGAGTCCCGTCTGGGTCAGTTGGTATTTCTGTGTGAAGTTTGCATGTTCTCCCTGCGTTGGCGTGGGTTTCCTCTGGGTGCTTCGGTTCCCCCACAGTCCAAATACATGCACTATAGGTGAATTAAATAAAACTAAATTTGACTGTAGTGTATGTCTGTGAATAAGTGTATATGGATGTTTTACAATTCTGGATTGCACCTGGAAGGGCATCCCCTGTGTAAACACATGCTGGATAAGTTGGCGGTTCATTACACTGTGGTGACCCTTGACAAATAAAGGGACTAAGCAGAAGAAAAATAAGTAAATGAATGAATGAATGAAAATATGCACTCTCTTACTCACTCCCACACTCACTGACTCACTCACTCACTCCCACACTCACTGACTCACTCACTCACTCCCACACTCACTCACTCACTCACTCACTCACTCACTCACTCACTCACTCACTCACTCACTCCCACACTCACTCACTCACTCACTCACTCACTCACTCACTCACTCACTCACTCACTCCCACACTCACTCACTCACTCACTCACTCACTCACTCACTCACTCACTCACTCACTCACTCACTCACTCTCCTCATTATTTACTGATTATTAGGAATAGCCACAGAGGAATCAACCGCAAATGGCTCTGGAATATCTTTTACTGGATGCCCTCCCAGCTGCAATCCAGCAGTGAGATTACAACCCTTAGTGCTGGGAAACAACCACACACTTTTATTCACACACTGCAGCCATTTTTTTATTCACACACTGCAGCCAAATTCATTATTATTATTATTATTTATCCAATTGACCTTTATTGTATGTCTTTTGATGCGGAGGAAAGCACTCAAAGAAATTCCACCCGAACATAGGAAGAACATGCAAAATCTACACAGAAATGCATCCTTGTCCAGCTGGAACTCGAACTAGAGACCTTCTTGTTGTGAGGCAACCACTTACCAACATACCAGCCTTTACAAAAGGCTATTACAGTAAATTCTTTCTGTGTTATTGTATAGATTTATTCATTTATTTTCTTTTCAGCTTAATCCCTAAAATAATCAGGGCGCACCAGAGCGGAATGAACCACAAAAAATCTGTCAAAAGTTTTACACAGCGGATGCCCTTCCTGCTGCAACCCATTACTGGAAAACACCCATACACTCTCATTCACACACATACACTACGGACAATTAAGCTTACCCAATTCATTTATAGCGCATGTCTTGGACTGTGGGGGAAAATGGAGCACCCGAAGGAAACCCACGCAAACATAGGGAGAACATGCAACTCCACACAGAAATACCAACTGACACAGCCGAGGCTCGAACGAGCGACCTTCTTGCTGTGAGGCAACAGCACTGCTTACTGTGCCACCGCGTCACCCTTTACATTCTATACTGTACATCATTTCTATTAAGTGACAAGACTTTTGTCTCAGCAAAGTCAGACCTTATTGTCCTAATTAAATCATTAAAAATCAAGGCATGATCATATTTTATTTTAGTAATATACGCGTAATCTAGAGGCCTTTGCCTTTCATATACTTTAAGCCACTTCTGATACCAAATGATCAACTAGTCAAGTTATTATTTGTTGTTCCTAAAACTTGGGTTGGCGACAAGACTTTTGTCAGGTTGTGTACTGATTCAAATGATTTATTTAGCATGAGTCTGCGGTAAACAACTCACTGATTAAAGTGATCTGCTCAGAGTAAGTCTCTAGTAAATGATTAACAGATTTTGCAAACGGATCTGAATGTGGTTCAGTGTGTGAATGCATTTTCACATTTTTCACATGAATTATCACAAATAAGTTGTGTGTTTCTTAGAGTATGATAAGATTTGGTAATTCAGGGAGTTTACAGGTATATATGTTTTAGGGTACCTGTACTTTTACTCAAGTGTTTGATTTGTGTACCACTGATGAGATGTGAGATCTGTCAGCCACGGCAATATTTGTGATTATGGGATGTAAAGCTGTACTATGTAAAAACCAGAAAATATGTATTCATTAATTACCTGAAAAACACAAACATCAATGCGGATTTCAAAATCTACAAAACTAGATGTTTTAAAGTAATTTGAATGGATGCGTGGTTAAAACAACACTATTGTTGTTGAGGATGAATATGTGTGATCGGAGAGATAGACACAGATGGGTAAACAGATGGATGAACAGACAGCTATCTAAACACTTATTATCTAGATTTACTAGGGTGTTTGTTGGGGTACATCTTACAAAAAAGTTACCTACTGTCCTGACAGGCCCATAATGCTGGCTTCCCTTTGGAGAATCAAAAGCGCCCAGACGTGCAAGCAATGAAAGAAAGAAAAATAACACCAAAACAAAGAAAACAAGAACAATCATGAAAATGTAAATAAACCAAACATGCAGTGGTGGTAAACGTAAAGCATAATCGAGGCCAAGTGGAGAACAGAAGAATACAATAAATCACAAAAGAACAACAACATGGTGAAAAGTAAAGAATGAAATATTCATGCAAGCAGACATTACAATGCAGAGAAGGCATGCGTTAGTGGCTGTTACATCAAACGTCTGCTTGTTATTTGAGATGAAGAGAATGACGATAAAGCACAAGCAAGCATTTAATCCTCCATTAAATATAAAGAGGCCACTATAAATGCAAAACAAATTCAAATAGACACAAGCATCCATGGGTGAAAGGAAGTAGAAGGCAATCTGCTTTATTAATAAATGATGGCATGGGGTGAAATGGTGCTGAAAAAAAACTAAGCACCGAGCAATTCATAAGCAGAGCAGAAGAGGCCAGACAGAAGCGTAATGGGTCTGGACTTGTCCACTCAGCATATATACAACAATTAAGATCACCATTGAGGGTCAGGGACTAAAAACAGAGAGTTTGCTGCTTGTTGTGAATAGTCAAGTCAACATTTGCATTTTTTTACTGAAGCAATAAACAGGATTTAGACTACCTTTGACCTGCATTTGGACTAATTACTATTACACCTAATAATATTGAAATTGATATGCCAGTCCAACCTTCTTCATCTACAAACTACAGAGAATGCGAATGAAATTTTTATCTGCTCCATGGACAACATGCAAATGAGACCTACTGTACGGTTAAAACTTGCGCAGGCTAATATATTGAATATTTATCAATGATCTAGCTTGCTGTATTGTCTAAAGGAATGTCAGATTCTTTAATCTCAAGAAAGTGGTTCACGCAAAAATGCTCCAGGCCATCTAAGACATACATCATGTCCAAAGTCAAGTGTTAAATTTTGTAACACTTTCCATCACTCTTAGAAATAAAGAATGAACTTTCTTCACTCTTAAGAAATTCTTCATTTAAGTGACAGTAAAAATCCCTATTTAGGCAGTTTAAAATCAAAACACATGAGCCCAGGTGAAATATAATGGTCTACTCTAGCTAAATTATTACATTTGTTTGAAAATCAAAGAAATAATACAGTAGAGGACAGCGATCTTTGTAAGACTTTCTCATACACAGCAGTTGACTTATGCATTCTAGGCTTTTATATGAAATGCACATTTACCTGTAGGAATGGCCTCCTGCCCTACTCATAACTCTCCCTTCATATAGATGTATATATGCCTATGACATATCCATAATACACTGTGATATAGCCAGGCTCGGATTGGATCATTTTCTTACTACAATCAATCTGCTCCCGAGTTTGTTTAAATCGAGTCGAGACCAACTCATTCAGGCAATCTCGGACTGATTGATTTGGCACGGATCCGAACGCGATTGCTGGACTCTGGAACGAACCGCGCTAACTGGGCAGACGAGACAGATTCCAAAACAAAAGTCTAGATGTGAAAGCATCCATAGAAATATCCTAACTGTGCCCCCACTAACGGCGCCCTTGCACACTAGTCTATAGGTGAACGTTAGACGCTCAGAATTAACTGCTTGAGAATAAAAGCAAAGTTTTTCAAACAAAAGCATTTTTAGCTAATTTTGTTATTTTACCTGAGGATATGCAAATTTTTACATATCAAAATGGAAAGATAACAAGATTAGCATGATCATGATTACTTACTCTTAATGGTAAGTAATCACTGGAGGCTGTTGTTTTATTTTCTCATATTATCATATTTCATTCATTCATTCATTCATTTTATTTTCAGCTTAGTCCCTTTTTTAATTTGGGGTTGCCACAGCGGAATGAACCACCAAATTATCCAGCATATCCTCACCTTGGAATTATAAGGTTCTAACTGCAATCTGAATGATTTTGAGATATTGAGCTTTAAAGTTTTTGCATTCCATAGCAAACAGTATATGTGTAATTTTTTTTAGTTTTTTTAAAATAAAAAGTTTTTTTTAAATAAAAAGTCTTAAAATGTAAACAACTTATAAAAAACAAAATGTAAATAAGAAAAGAAAATGTCAATTAAAAAGAATATGTCAATAACTCAATTTTGACAAAAATGTCAGATAGAACCTTATAATTCTAAGGTGACGATATGTTTTACGCAGCTGATGGGTCATGACCAAAAGGAAAAGCGGCCGAGATGAGTTTCCTTCGCAGGGTGGCAGAACGCACCCTAGATGAGTAATGAGGGTGAGGAGCTCTGTCACCCGGGAGGAGCTCAGAGTAGAGCTGCTGCTCCTCCACATCGAGAGAAGTCAGCTAAGGTGGCTCAGGCATCTGTTTCGCATGCCTCCTGGATGCCTACCTAGGGAGGTGTTCTAGGCATGACCCATCAGGATGACCCAGGACACGCTGGAGGGACTACTGTATGTCTCTCGGCTGGCCCGAGAATGCCTCAGGAACCCCCGGAGGAGCTGGAGGAAGTGTCTGGGGAGAGGGAAGTCTGAGGTTTTCTCCTGAGACTGCTGCCCCCTCGACCCGGCCCCGGATGAAAATTAATGAATTTTTACACACAGATGCAAAATGAACAAGCAGTTGAAAGCAACATGCACAGTTGGCTTTTGTTGCTGAAATACACATTTTTTTTGGTGTCTGTAAAATTGATTCAGAACACATTTCTTTATTACAACACACCATGTTCAAAACCTTCTCATGTTGATTTATTTTGACAAAAATACAAGCAAAATTCTGCCAGGTTAATAGTCCAAATCATTTCTGACTCTATATACAGGCCCCCGAAATTACCCAGTCTTTCATCATTCATAGTATTTTTTTTTTGGTAAGTCTAAGTGCGCTTAAGCACTGGAAAGCTGCTGTGCTGACAGGTAAGGCAAGTGCAATTTTACAACATTTGAGCCTGTGAAACACCTCTTTCAAAGGCTCAGTAACCACAGTTTTTTCTGATGTTTTCACTTCTATTCCTTCCTTCTAAAAAATATTTATTTTCAGCTGAGAAGCCTTATAATTCAGGTCGTCTGTTATTTGTTGGGGTAAACACAGATATTCTGTAACATCTTTATTACAATATTAGACTAGAAGGATTTAAAGCCTAGGCAAGTTGTCACAATTTTCTTTTGATAATCTTTTTGATTGAAAGAAGGACAGTAAGGACTGATGTGACTGTAGACATGCTGTAAGAAAGATGCCAATTTCTGCTTGCAATTGATGCTGACTTTAACATCACACTTTGGAGTTACACATACTGATATATCAATAATACATTACAATATTTACATCCACAAAAACTTGTGTGACAGTTACGAGCAGTTCAACAAACCTCAAATTAATTTCTCCATTAACTCCTGTGAAATTTCCTCAAGCACATGGATCATAGCAAATCAGTCTTTCACAGTTTAACAGGCAAGACATCTACATGCCCATCTAAGACATGTTGCACTTCCAGCCAAGATGGATTGGAAATATGTGCCTCACATTTCAGGTGATTATGTTGCATGTTTTGGATGAAAAGTATGTTTCAGATACACATCCTTCTTGTACATGTCCACGAGAAGGCGAAGCTTGTCAGATCACTGAGCCACTGACCTAGACCCTTCTCTAAATCAACCAATAGTGCCAAATATTAAAAAGTGCACTGTGACCATTTAGTACTAGTTTGATTTTACATTGCTTTTATCTCTTTTGTTGAACCGTGCTTCACTGGACATGAGGCTTCACTGCTCTGCATTACAAGTACAACATCCAACTGACCATGCTATAATAGTTGTCTATGTGGAGATCGACAGGTGAGGCAAACATTTTGATTACAAACCATGGACACCATTAAGTTATTTTGTGGTATTTATGGGTGTTGTGAAACAAAACTCCACAAAATAAAACTAGGGATGTCCAGATCTGATCACGTGATCGGAAATAGGGCCCAATCATGTGTACCTATCAGTCTTGAGGTATTATAAAGTTGATGACGACAACATTGCCATAGCAAACTGAGATTTGTAATTGCCTGCTGGTTATTTTAAGCTGAGGTGCTATTTATTTTTATATTAGATTATTTTTATATCACCTTTTACACTAAAGTCCAAAAGTGAAGACAGTTGATAAATGTCAAAATAAGACGAATTATATAAAAAATAGGGAACATCCTGGATCTATTTCTTCGCTCTTCTTTATTCTTTTTTTATGTATTATAGAAGTATCGAATTGGGTTTCGATATTAGTTGTTACTTAAAATTAAATGACTCAATTTCGAGGACAAAAAAAAAAAAAAAAACCTGATCAGGACATTCCTAAATGAAACCTTCAAAATAAAAATAATACACAAAAAATATTTAAACGAATTGACGTGATTCTTAGATTTTTTTGGGACAACTTAATTGTTTCTTTGTTCAATCAACTTAAATTTATAAAATTATTAATTAAACTTAATCGATTTATGTTGGGACAACATGAAGAAATTGTGTGGAATCAAGGATTTTTTTACATGATTTATCCCTGTAATGCCATTCATCTGAAAAAGAACAACAGCGGTTGGCATCATAGTGCTCTGTAGAGTTAGTTTTATCTAGAAACTGCAGCTAAACATGTTTCAATATATTTTTGTGGTTTTAGAAAAATGAAGGCTGAAGCATGTATTTCCAATGAGCCTGTGTTGTGCATTTCACAAAATGGTCTCTCATACATTTATTTTGATGACATAATGGGAGGATAACAGTTTGAGTTTTATGTGTTTATTTATTTTTGGCAAGCACAGATAGAAGAACCATTGACAACCATTGACATCCATAGAAGGAAAAAATATTTACAGAACAGGTCAATGGTTAACGGTTTCCTTTATTCTTTAAAATATTTTCTTTTGTGTTTAAAAAAGGAAACAGCATGGCTTTGAACAAATGAATGAATGAATTCCTTTAACAGTTTCCCATATTTTGTGATGTTTTT